CACAGTGGGGACGGAAGTAATGTATTGAAACGAATTAACTTCCAGACCGCAATTTACTACCGATTTGCATAAAATTTGGTGGACATCATCTTAATGCAATTACAAATCGATCTGTCGAGGCCGAATTTTGAAAAAAAATTCTCTTTTAAAAAATTCTCTTTTAAAAAAATTGAGTTTTTTCGAAAATAACAATCGTGAAGCGAACGAATGAATTTAAAAGTATTACGGATTACATTTTTTCGATCTAATGTCACAATAAAACATAATATGGGAGATTTTTGAATCGGTTTCTCCTCGCCGAATTCTCAAAAAATTTATTTTTTCAAAAAAATCCATCTTTTTTTGAAAATAACAATCGCGAAAAGGAAGAAATAATTTCAAAGCATTACAGATTGTATTTTTTTCACGTAATGTCACTAAAAAACAAAGCACAACGGATTACATTTTTTGGATCTAATGTCATAAAAAAACATAATGCGATGGATTTTGTAATTGATCTCTCAAATCATTTCACGTACTTTATTTACAAATATTTGTATAATCAAATGAGACACTATTAAATTTGAAAATTGAGATCAATTTTCCAAAAATCTACTCATCATTTCAGCAGTAACGGAATTTACTTGTATTGATTGAAAATAAAAAGTTATGGACTTTTTCGGAATGTGGACCGTTTGTTGAACAATTTATGGGTTAAAACAATTGACATGCTGATTGAGACGCCCATAATAATTATCAAAACGTTGCAATATAAAAAATTGCAGCGACATATTTCAAATGTTCATTGTTTATTTGGAATTGTTGTTTATTAGAAAAGCAACAGCTACAAAAGCGAGAAGAAAGAGATGGAAAATTGAATTATGTTATCCAGAATCGGCATTATAGGTGATATTTTGACACATGAAATAACTTCGGCTCACGTTGACACATTTCAAGTAGTCAAATTATTGTCAACCTACACCATTAGCTAGTTGAATATTTAAAATTCAACAACTCCAGAATGCGCCACGATTCAAAAATCTCCCATATTATGTTTTATTCTGACATTAGATCGAAAAAATGTAATCCGTAATACTTTTAAATTCATTCGTTCGCTTCACGATTGTTATTTTCGAAAAAACTCAATTTTTTTAAAAGAGAAATTTTTTTTCAAAATTCGGCCTCGACAGATCGATTTGTAATTGCATTAAGATGATGTCCACCAAATTTTATGCAAATCGGTAGTAAATTGCGGTCTGGAAGTTAATTCGTTTCAATACATTACTTCCGTCCCCACTGTGCGGCAGGGAGTGGGTCGCAAAAGGTGTGGGAAATTTGTCGGAGGGCGAGAGAGATAGGCCACAAGAATAAACTACGCGAGAGCG